GCAGCACAGCGCAGCACAGCGCAGCACAGCGCAGCACAGCGCAGCACCCAGACCCGCTCCGCAGATGCACGCGGCGACTCAACGCAGCGCCAAGGGGCTCTGAACTCCCGCTCAGCCACAAAGCTCCCCACCGCCACCCCGCAGCACGCACAGCGTCACGGCGGGACCCCGCACGTACCCGGCTCGTCGCTGAAGCGCCGCAGCGGAGCCCTGCGGGACGCCATGGCTGCTGACAGAGCCGCGCGCCACTCCCCGCATTCAAAGGCATCAACGTTCGCCGCCACGCGCTGCGGGCGGCCAATCGGCTCCTCCAGCTCCGGGCCGGCTCAGCCAATCAGCGCTCCTTTTCTGGAGCATGCGCGTTGCAGAATAAGGGATCGGAAAGAGAAGGGTGGTGGGGCTGTGCGCACGCGCGGTGCCTCACTTCCGGGTCGGGGCGGAACGGGTGGTCGGCGTCCGTTGTGTCACATGTCGGCTCCGTTCGAGGAGCGGAGCGGGGTGGTTCCCTGCGGGACGCCGTGGGGCCGCTGGTACCAGACCCTGGAGGAGGTGTTCATCGAGGTGCAGGTGCCGCCGGGCACGCGGGCGAAGGATGTGAGCTGCAGCCTGCAGAGCCGGCGCGTGGCGCTGTCCGTATGCGGCCGGGAGGTGCTGCAGGTAGCGGCGGGCTGGGAGGGGCGGTTCGTGTGGCTGCGGCCTTACGGTGCACTGCGGGCCGGCGTAGCCTTAGCGCTGCCCTGAGGTTTTGTCGGCAGATTCGCTACGGGCGGCACGACTCCAGAGCGCCCTGAGCTGTGCGGTGAGACACCGGCACGCCGATGGGCGGTTCTATGTATCAAATGTTCCGTTAAAATAAATAAATAAATAACGTGCAGTAAACGAGTATGTCTCTGATAATGTTCAAGCCCACATGGGCAGAGAATTGGTGCCCTTCTCCTTTGAGGTGGAACACAGTCAGGCTAGCAGTGCGTACGGCGGTACGATTACAGGTGAGCTTGTGGCTGAGCTGCTTTTCCTGTTCTGTAATGCTGTCAATGTCTTTGCAGGGTAAACTTTTTGACTCTACGATAGCTGATGAAGGAACGTGGACTTTAGGTAATGACCTTTATCTGAGGTGACATCTGGGGGGTGGTAGAACACAAAACGTGCTGCAGAAGAGTTTATCAGCACCGCCCCCTCCCATTCATTTTCTTCCTTGTTTCTTCTTATTCTATTTCAGTCTGTAGTTGTATGAAGGGACAGTCGTATTGCCATGCTAAGAAACTAAGGTAGTGCACAAGTCTGAAGTTAATAGTAATGCAAAAGTGCAGGTGTGGGAACGCAGTATCCCATGGCTTAGGAACACTTTCCTGGGAATGAACATTCGCTTCTCAGGAAATAGATTGCTAAAAGTTTGATTGCACGTACACTCCAAAGTTAGAGCAGTACAGCTGTGTGCTTCTGCAACTTTTATTTTTCTTATTTTTTCCCTTCTAATTTGTGCATTATATTTCTGGGATAGGTGACAACACCTACAGTCCAAAAGCATCAAAAAGCAATTAAAAAATCAGGTGATGGTGCTTAAACATAAAGAGCAAAAAGCCTCTCTAATTATTTGATAAATACTGCAAAGTGTTCACAATGCTTTGATTTTTGAAAGCCATACGTAATGACTGTACATATTCATGTTATTTTCTGATGGATTTCCATCAGAAATCCTAAGTGCAAAATGACTGACAGCGACTCCTCATCATAGTAATGGTGGCTTTTACAAGTAATAACCTTCTGTAGAGCTTGGCTTTAAATGTTTGGTTATTCCCCTGGCTGACCTATATCTCATCCTATGTGTGACCCTAAATCTTTTCTCCATCACAGACCTCCCCCAAAGGTTTTATTTGGAATAGAGGTGCACCATAATGGTTCCACAAAACGACTGTTAGGTTTTGTAGGTCAGAAACTGAGGTGTGGCTGTACAGGTTATCTTTGCTTCCTGTTCATATTTTTATTTATTAGTAACCCCGTTTGACATTAAGAACTTAAACTATCTCAGAAAAATTCCTGTGCTTTGGCATGTTGGTGGTGAATTCAGCACAGCAACAAAAAGCCTGGCACACAGGGCACTAATGGTTGTTTTCTTTTTTCTTCATTCAATAGAAGACCGAAAACTGATACGAATTGTTCTGATGAAGACTAATCGAGATGCTGGAAATTGCTGGACATCTCTGTTAGAAAATGAATACGCTGCTGATCCTTGGGTACAAGACCAAATGCAAAGGAAACTTACGCTGGAGCGATTCCAAAGAGAGGCAAGTCAAAGGCCCCCACTTACTGCTTGTGTTTGGTGTTTGCAGATATGGGTTATGGTCACGAAAGCTGAGTAAAATTGTTCTGTGGTGTAGTGCCGTGGAAACAGATGGTACTTCAAGACAGAGATGTGTAAACACTCAGTATGTCAGTGTGCTTTCAGGAGGCTCTTCTGTCTGTAGCCTGTGTGAAGAATTTGTGAAAAATCAAGCGAGTTGCAGGGTTGTGTTTTAAGGTTTTGATCCGTAATTGTAACAACTTTTCACTAATGATAGCATACATATATTTCTGTTATTATCTTGAACTATGACATAGCTCTATGTATAATAAACTTCTAACATCTTACTCTGTTGAATAGTTTGTATATAACATCAGGTGACTGAAACTAGTTAACTCAAAATTGCTCTGCCCTTTGACTAAACTTGCTTAAGTTATTCTGACACACCTCTAGTACCCAGCTCTTCCTATTCAGCTCTGCTCTTTCAGAAACTTAATAGATGAATCAGCACTACAACAAAGATGACAATTTATATCTGAGTTTTTATCTAGCATGGGGGTACTTTTTTTTTCCTCTAAAATTGTAATTTCAAGGCATGTGAAAAGCCAGAGAATTTTCTTAGAGTTTTCTTAATATTTCTTCACTAGGAAATCTAAGTGCTTGCCTGATGAAGAATGGCATTACAGAGGAATTTCAGCAGTGGGCAACTGAACTGTGGCAATTTAATGTTGGTTAACGCATTCGCCTGGCAAAAGAATTTCAGTGTTAGTAATCCAGTTAACAAGTTGTACCTGTATGTCCTTGTTAGAGTGGTAGAATATGAAAAGAAACATTATTTTATTTTTTTCTTTATATCAGTTCTGTTAAGAATAATCTTTATACTAAATTTTTGTCTCTGTCAGAACCCTGGATTTGACTTCAGCGGGGCAGAAATTTCTGGAAATTACAGCAAAGGAGGACCAGACTTCTCTAGCCTTGAAAAATGAACTGTTTGCAACTGTGTTCCTTGGGAGCAATCACAAATTACACTGGAGGACTGGAATGTATAACTGGTGAAGACTTCAGTGATCTATCCAGCAGATTGTTGGCAAGTAATCACTTCAGTGAAGAGAAAGGAGGTCTCTTCTAGTAGAGTGAAGAGGAAGTGTTAGTAGCTACCTTGTAACATTAACTTTCTAGTAACTTGCTAATGGTAAAGGAATTAAGTGCAGAAGAGTGTACACAGAAAATAACAAATGGAAGCAGAACATATCTTTCACCACAGTGAACTAGTGAGATAAATGTGCCACTTGTCTATGCAAGAATATCTTGTTCACTGTTGAAAATGGACCCTATAAGCAAGATACTTAATGCTTTTATTTAACATGCGACATGGAAGAATATCAGGAAGGCTTATTGAAATTCTGCTGCATAGCAGCCCTGTAAGAATCTGTGAGTGTTATTTTAAGAGTGTTTTAAATAAAGAAAACTACTGGATTTTGCCTGAAATGAGGTTTTACAATCCGCTGCACTGCCAAATATAATACTAGTGAGGAATGCCTGCTACCAGTGATTGGAGAAAACTGAGAAGTCAGATAGTCTGGATATAAATAATTGTGTGAGTGTAATATCGTAATACATGAAATTTTCAAGTAAGAGAATATAGCAACTTCTGAAAGGAGTAGTAAGTCCCTAAATAAAAAAATGATATATTTCATCTGATACACAGCGCAATGTTTTGTTTTGTTTTTACAAATCTAAGAACATGCAGCTGTACATTTTGGTAGGTAGTTTAATGGTCACATCTTAAACTTAGCTATTGAATGATATAAGACTTCACATGTGCCAATTTCTTATTTTCTACCTGATAATACAGGTGATAATACAGTGATACAGGTGAAAAGCCCTCCAACTGTGTTATGCAGGACAAATACTGTGGCAAACTGACTAACAGGAAGATAAAATGTGATCACTGAATCCTACTGTGTTCTGAACACTGAAAATACTGCCTACAGCTAGGTCCTAAGCAGACAGCTCACTGGTGGTAAGTTGCCAGCTGCTGTCCATCATATTATTGAACATGACTTTTACCACAGCATCAGTTGGCGTATGGCAAAAATGAAATGATACCTGGAAGAGGGCTTTCTTGTACCAGCAAGCAAGCAATTAGTTCTCATAAAATAACCAAGTATTCTTCTTCTGCCCATGTAATCCTTACACAAATATATAGTAGGTCCAAACACCATGCTTGGGTTTTAGAAAATTTGCCTTCCTGTGCAAGCCAAAGTACAGTTTGTTATCAGATGTATCTTTACCACAGTCCTGCTTTAGAAGGTAGATAGTGTAGCTAAGGAATGAGTGAGACTGCTGCAAAAGGTAGAACTGAGAACAGAGATAATAAATAACTGTTAATGCTGCTTCAAAGTGCTGACATACTATTCAGTGCAAGAATATTTTACTTTACAGCAGATGCAGTTGTTTATACAGGAATGATTCTATATCTTTTGCTTACAGAAATTCAGACTAGCATCTGATGCTTCTCTGCATGAACAGATAGTTTTACTGTATATTCTTTCAAAACCATGTTTTCTCATATTTTCTTCTTCATGAAGTGGTGTTTTCTGCTTTATAAAGCATGTGTTCAGCCATTATAGCTTGCAGTTGTTCTAGGAGGACAAGTTTAAACTATTTGGTTTGCTGCTTCTATTGTCTGCTGTGATTTATTTCCTGAATTGGAGTCCACTCAATTTGCAGTTAATACCTCACCAGATGGTGGCTTGTGTTCCATCTTGCTGGGATTCCATCCCTTGCTTCCTAAATAAACCGTGAAAGATGTGACAGATGATAGAGTTGGATGTATGATAGTTACACAGTGACCTACTTTATGGGAAATAATACTGAGCAGTCATTCAAATTGCTCTTACATAAATGGGTAGAGGCCACCCTACAGGCATTCTTTCATACCTCTAATGCAAGATAAGGTCAGATAGTTCAAAGGACAAACTGCTTTTAATGGATGTGTTAGGCACAGTAGATGGCTAAACTTTAATCTAGTCACTCTGTAATGCTCAGCTCAATCCAAACACTGAAACCTTGGAATTAGGAGTGTGAGTTCCTCCTTCAAGTACCATTTGTATATTTACTACAATGCACAGAAGTAGATGCTGTGTACTGTTAGAAGCGGAGTGGCAGGTATTTGAAGTGAAATTCATACAGTGTAGTCTTTTGGCAGTCTGGGTGCACCAAATTGCTTGAGACACCGAAACAAACCAAGCCAAGCTGAAATAATTTCATTAAGCTTTCTTTTTTCTTTTTGTTTTTCTAGCCTTTCCCATTGCAGCTTCAACCCCTTAAACTACATCCTTAGTCTCTTATGTCTTGCACTGAAGTTGACCAGGCAGCATTCAGCTGTAAGCAGCTTTGTGGGCTTCCTACTAAAATGTCTTGTAATACACTGGGAAAAAAAAAAAAGTTACTCATTATTTGCATTTCAATGTTTAATTGAAAGGTACATATCTTGAGACACGACAATACCAGCACAATTGCATGCTGCATCTTGCAATCTCCCAGTAGGCTGACTGCCCATCTGTCTACATCACTTGTGTTCCTTTCAGCACAATGCATATATTGCACTGGTGGATGGAAAATGCAATTCAATACTATGCAGCATAACCATTCCCATGAGTTTATGAGAAAGCTTGATTTGTCCAGTATGGAGCTTTGGTATGTAGTTTTCTGTGAGAAGTTTAACTAGTTTGAGAGAAGTGAAGAATTATCTCCTCATCCATTATTACCATAAAGGAGATGGATTTGGCAGGCTAGCTGGTAAGTCCACAGAGTATTCCAGACATGCAGATTCCTTCCTTCTCCACTGACTCCATTCATACAACAACCGGTTTTTAACAGAACTCAAGGAGTCATAAGCAACATTCCCCCAAATCCTCATCCATCTTACATACAATAACATATTCTTCATGTTCACTTTCACGTTAGTTCCAGCAGCATGATACACCTCAAGTACTGACTTAGTCTTCAGGGAAAATCAGCAATTTTACTTAGTAAGCTGTCAAACAGACTATGGTTGCAAGTCTTCACGTTTTCCTAATCTTGAGTAGCCTGTAGGTAGCAGCACAGTGAAGCCTGAACATTTCTGACTGTACTTGTCCCTCTTGTTCAGTATCAGCATTTACTTCTTGTACAGTGGAATCCTGGCAAACTGATGCCCAATTTGGAGCAGATGCTGTGGTGTTTTCTCCCCAGCCAGCACTAGGTATTATGAAGTTACCACACACTTGCCCATAATCTCAGCAAACCACACCTCTTATATAATACCGATGTTACTGATGCATTCTTAATGACTACACAACAGGCACCACAAAACCTTATTTTCAGTTTGTGTCCATGGTAAAGGTGAGCACCCTACCCTGTAAGAACACAGGTGTGTGCTGCTATCCAAACAGCCTGTCAGCTGGACTGATGAGCATTTGTTATTCTATCAATGCTGAGTAAGGTGGTCTTTAGTTTGTCTGAGAAACTGAAGCACTGTGCTACTGCATACGTTTACCTAGTGTCAAGTAGTCTTTGGAAAGTGAACCAATTTTTTCCATTTAATATATAATTTTGCACCTGCACTTGCTGTAAAACATGGTTAGATTACACAAGCTGCTCTACAAACTATAAGGTATTAAATTCTTTTCATCAGTATTGTGATATTTTACTGCTTAAATAGTAAATCATCTAGTAAGACCAAAAGCTAACGTTAGGTATCATAGTCATGGAAAACAACATTTGCTGCAAGGAATTCTAGTCTGAACCACTATATATTCTTGCAAAAGTCAAGTTCTTCATTATTAAGATGTTTCTTGAACCTTCATCTGTCTATGAACAAGTTTCAGGCTGGTTTTCTCCTTTTATTGTACTCCTGTAAAACAAACAAAAAAAACCCATAATGAACAATCAACTAAGTAAAGGGATTTCTACGAGAATAAAATAAAGCATAAGACAGACATTAACACAGAAGAGACAACTTTTAAAGTTTTGTAGCCTTTAGAGTTAAAGTCTAGATAAGGAAGTAGTGTGCAACTCTACAGTTAATCAACTGCAATATGCATAACCAAGTGAGTTTCACTTTACTAAATGAACAGCTAACCAACTCAAAGTGTATGAAGCTGTCTGTAAGTGGCTTCAGTGAACCAGAGCAAGAGAGATTGTAACAGGCAGCTGTTTCCTTTTAGATTCTTTCTGCAATAGGAGCAAGCTAAGTATTTCCCCTGCTTTTTTACCAGTTCTACTCCGTATTTAAGTTTGAATGAGGTCGTAATGTCTGTAGAATATATTTCTGCTCCCAGAGCACATCAAAGCATCAGTTCCATTTCCAGTGTTCACATATTAGGTAGCCACTTCCTTAGGTACACCACAGGCTCAAGCATGAACATGAGAACAGACCAGCCTCTGTGACAGGCCTACCACATTTACGTTAACATCTCCAACAGGTTACCTATATGGAATAAGAAACTTTGAAATAGTTAACAGCTAATGACTTCTACATTGTGAGAACTGCTTTTACAAGTAGTTACCTATTATGAGCTGGTTTCTGGAATTGTAGGAAGGTGTGTTATTCTATAATAGCTATGCTTAAGCTGCCGTGCTGTACGTCCAGACACGATCCATTTTAATTTCTGGACATTTGGTTTGGAACACTTGCTTGAGGAATATTCTGTAAGGCACTTCAACACCAATTCCTTCCAGAAGGTCAAATCTCTGTTGTTTATCTAAACAGCAAGACAGAATCCCATATGTCACTAACTCATTACATCCTTAAATTACATGTGTATTTTTAGCTATTTAAGATAGAAAGCCAAACATCCCAAGCCAGATGGAATATAAAAAAGAAAAAAAGAAACCAGTACGTCAATAGAACTCCCCTTCCCCCAGTGAGAAAACCCCCGCATGCATTTTTATTCCTGCACCCTGGAAAACTTTATCCATACCTTGGAATGCAACTGCAGAAATTCCAATGCCTCTGTCAACTCCAGTAGTTTTTGTTCTTCTATCTCTAGTGCCATGATAGACAGTGCTAAAACAGAAGGCTGGAGAGAGAAAGATAACATGACATTTTTGATCTACAACTTTAAAGTTTCTCTAGCCTCACTGACTATTAGCTTTCAAGTTTACCTTAGCTTTAGAAAACATGATTCTGCAGTGACATGCCTTAAGCTGGGTCTCAAGTCTCTCAAAATTAAGGTATCTTTTCCTGTAATAAAAACAGATGAGACATTGTTGCACAAAAACACAAGCTTTATCAAGACCACTCTTCTCTCTGGTGACAGGACTTGAAAGAATGGCATGGAGCTACGTCATGGAATGGTCAGCTTGGGTGTTAGGAAAAGGCTTCTCACAAGAGGGTGGTGGGCATGGATTGGGCTTCCAAGGCAGTGGTCACTGCCCCAGGCTGCTGGAGTTCAAGGAGTTCAAGCTTTTGGACAACACCCTCAGAAATATGGTCTGAATTTTGGGTGGCCCTGTGTGAGGCAAGGACTTGAACTTGATGCTCCTTGGGGGTCTCTTATGACTTGGGATACTCTGCGATTCCATGGAAACAGAGCAGCTGTGAGAATGTTCTTTATTTAAACAAGGGCCTCATTTGTACCAGAAGAAGTGTTTCAGTCAAACAAGCATTAAATTTTGGCAGTCTTCATGCCCAAAATAAATCTTGTTTTACGGGGGAGAACTGCATCCATTCAGAAAAATGGGGTTTTAATGTTAACTATCAAAAGGAACTTTTTCTGAAATCTATTTTGAAATCTTTGCAGAAAGGCTTTACTGACACAAACTTGTTACACTATTATTGTTGAGAAATTTGTTTTGGGACTTAGAGAACAATACTCCCTAAATGACTTCACACACAAAAAAACATTTTAAGATAACATTACACCTCAGTATTCACATTTATTATTAAGGAGGAAAGTTTTATTCTTTTTTTTTTTTTTTTTTAAACATCAAAAGGCCAATTACTTGACTAATAATCCCTGGCTGTTTTCTGGCATAGGCTCCCTGATTACCTGCAGCCATACCATAACACAATAAGCTTGAGATATTTTACCTTTCACAGCTTAAATTCTCATGAATGAGCGAATGATAAAGCTGTAGAAACTGGAAGGCTGTTGTTGCTTTGACTTTCCAAGAAAGCTTCTCCAATACGATTTTCTCCATTCTCATCATATCAGAAACAGTGAACCTATACTGGCTTATTCGGATTAAGTCGGTGGCTAAGGGAACATTTCTCTCTTCTTCTGTTGCCTTCACAGCTAGGTAGAAGCAGCTCAGTCCAACACAGCCCAAGTGTTTAGGCTGTACCTAAAGAAAAGTCAATGTTTTTAGTTACTTTTAAAGAGGGAAGCCTTTGATAAACCATCTCAATATGCAAGTACCGAATTATTTGTTATTTTAGGAGTAAAAAAAATTATGTAGAACTAGTTTCTAAACACGGTTGTATAGGACCTAGAGTGTTGTAAATATTCGCTTATATATAAACAAAAAATACTAAATTCTTGGGATATATATATGTACATATATATATAAAAGGGAACCACAGAGAATTTGTAAGGGCAGGTTTTGGATTCAGAAGTCTTATACTCCACCCAACCTTCTCATTTTTTAGGGACATACTAACATAGAAGAAAAGCTAGCATTTGTCTTGGACTAAGTGGAATAGCAGTAATCCTGTCTCGTTAGACAAATAACCCAGGTCAGCATGCCAAATACATGCAGAAGAATGGAATGTTAGCTAACTATTAATTTTATCTGATTAATAAATGCTGAACAGTATCCCAACTCTTGATACACCTAAGAGACACTACTAAACAGCAGTAAACTGAGAGCTAATTCAGCACCTTCTTGTGTATGTGCAACAGGCCAAACAGCCTGTCTTGATCTAAAGCAATAATAAGCCTGCGTTTCCAATGGGCACCTCCAGTTGGAACAGATGCCCTCTTCCTTCTCTTCTTCAGAGAAAGCAGCTTTCTTAGCACTGCTGAAATCCAACCAGGGAAAGCCATTTTTTAAGCTCTCGTGCAACTGGAATCCGGGGACGGAGCTTAACCTTTAATCATCTAAAAGCAAAGCAAGCCCTTCTAAATAACGGGAGTGAGGTCGCAGCGAGGAGAAGCTATCGAGCTTATACTTTAAACAGCCGTACCTTCATTTTGGACAAGAACCTATCTAAGAAGTTGACAGCCAGCGAGAAGGTCTCCGTGTGGAAGCCGAAGAACTGAGTTAAGCTGAGCAGATCCTTCACTTCGAAGTCTCGCAGCCTCGCGGTCATTCGGAGGCCGTTGTCGTGGGCGGACTCGATCAGCCTCAGGCCGGAGCCCTTCGGCTGGCAGCGCAGCTCCTGCTCCAGCAGAGCCGTCAGCCGGTAGAGCAGCGCGCGGGCATCGCCGCTCACGAGCGTCTCGATCATCTGCAGCGACAAACGAACGAGCTGCAGCGAACCCGGCGGCCGCGCACGCGCCGCCCGCACAGGACATGCCCGGGCCCGTCCCCGCCCGCCTCGGCGCCGCACCGGGCGGCAGCACGCAGCGCAGTGCCCTGCCGTGCCGCTCCGCACCGCCGGCGATTCGGGCGCGGCGCGGAGAAGCCCGAGCCGCCGGCTGCTTGCTCCGACCCCGCGCCCTTACCTCGTCGCCGCCTCACTGCTCCCTTCGGCCGGAGGAGGGTCCCGAGGCGGTGCGCGCGACGCCGCGAGTTTACCCTACACAGCTCTCGGCCGGCCGGGCGCCGAGCCCCGCCCGCACGCTGCCATGCGCCCCGCACCGCACCGCTCGCCTACGCCGCCGCGGGCTCCCCTCCGCCCCGTGGGGCTGCGGATGATTGACGTGCAGGCGGGCCAATCGCAGCGCCCCGCCTTCTGCACGAGCGGCGCGAGCCCGGCGCTGCGGCTCCCTCTGGTGGAGGCGCCTCCACACGGTCGGTGTTGGACGCGAGGTGCGCTTCAGCTGCGTCGTCTCCTGAAATTTTAGGGGTGTTATTTCGGATTCAGGCTAAAATTTTCAAGCCGTCTTGTGGTAATTATCGTGCGAGAGGCTTAAGGTGCTTTTGAGGGGTGCACTGGAGTAGAATGCAAGCAGCTGCTAGAGAGCAAACTTTGTACCTCACCATCTGGCTGCTTTGCGGAGACGCGGCGCCGGGCGGACAGTCTGCAGCAGCTTCAGCATGGGGTGTCTGAAAGTTACATTGACTAAATACAAGTGAAGGCTATGGTGTGTGCTTGTGGAAGTGTTTAGAAAATGAAGTAAGGCAATATATATATTTTTTTCAGAAATGCAATGTAAACGTAGCCCTCCAAAGGACTGTTTTTGTTGAGGCTGGTTTGTTGATTTGTTTTGCTTTCAAAAGAATTGCGTGCTCCTGCAGTCCATTTGTCAGATTTGGATGGTTTGGACTACAGTATAATTACATTTATTTAACGTCAGGTTCCAATTTGTTAGAACATTGATCTGAGTTGTGCAGAAGTCTTCCTCTGTTGTAACCCTTGAAATGAAACAAATTTCTGCTTAGTTCCTTGACGTGTCTGCCAGACAACCAAGGGTCCCAGGGCCTACTGTTGCTGTTGGACTCTTTCCTTGATTCAAATCCCTAATAAATGTTTTTCCTGTTTCCTCTGAGCCTTCTCATTCTCCTTCAGAGAATACAGGAAGGGAGGCCTGGCAGGAGAATGTGTTGGTTCTTGGTTCTGTCTTCTTGTTCAGGACATGTGAGTGCCTGAGGCATTTTGTGTGCTTTGAGGTAAAAATATTTTTAAATGAATGTTGAACCACACTTGTTACTTCAACTCCTGAGATAACCTGCAGCACTTTTGTTAGTTGATACTTAGCATCCCTGCTTTTCTACAGCAGTCATTCATGGAAAGTAGAATTAGGAGCAACTGCTGTAACTGCACTGCTTCTGCGTGCTGAGATGAAAAATGCTCACAGAAGTCATGCTGTGCTGCACCATGCTGTATCTGCAGTTAGCTGCAAAAACCACAGAGCTGCTTATGCACATACCAATAAAAGTGCTTGTGGAAATGTTTCACACTGTATCACTGAATCATAACTGTATCAAAATCATTTTTCTTCATTAGCAAATACTTTCCTCCTTCTACTTGCTTATATTTCTTTCTTTAAAAGGTAACCTGCTTCTTCAAGAGGAGGTTTCTCAGAATGTGTTGAACTCAGAATATTCTCTTTTATTATTTGGGCAGCTTTCATTCCTTTTTAGGTCAGAGATCTTGGTTCTTTTAAGTTAATGTTGCCTGTAAAAATCTAAGGAATGTAAATATTTATTTTTCTTTGCTAATGTTTTCAGTACTTCATGCATGCTCTTAAGTTAAGCCATGAAAAATTTTAACTAAAATCTGGCATTGTTTTAAATATATTTGAGAGAATGAAGTGGAATTAAACTTGTTACTGCAGAGCAAAGCATCAGCCTGTCCATATCCTTCATGGCATGCTTGTTAAAATGACTTTTATGTGCATTTGCTGTATAACTAGGGATGAAATATTATTTATTACTGTGCTCCTTGTGTCTGTCCTAGTTTCCATGGAAATAAATAGGAGGCATTACTTTTGGAGCATTCTATGTACTTTTCCTAGCTTTAAAACCTTTACATTACTCCATGCTCTCGCTGCCAGTTCTTCAGTGGTATCAGTATAGACATCCAGCAGAGGAAGTTGGACATTTGTTGCATCAGAGCTTTCCCATGTGGAGCCTCTGTGTCCGTCTCGAATGTCTTTTCATTCTGGTGACTTGTCACTGCAGTTTAGCAATGGTCAGATAAAATCCATGTCCTGTCATACCTTTACTTTTTCTCTGCTGTCCCATTTGTCTGCTTGCAACTGCAGTGCAACAGGCAGTCAGTAACTGTATTGTGTGATGAGAAATAAGGCAGAATGAATGTCAGGGTTAGCAGCAGCAGCAGTCATCCTTAGCAGATATAGCATGGCAGTGAGATCCTCAGCTACCAGGACACGTCCTTGCCAGTGTGACAGGAGGGAATGATGCTTGTATGTGATAAATGAACCGATATTCAAAGTTGCTGTTTCTTTAGCACAGGAAACGCTCCCTGATGTGTACTAGTTTGTAGCAGGGTCAGTGGCTTTTTAGGGTAGTCACATGGCCAAGGGTGAGACCCACCAAGAAGCTGTTAGCATCAGTTCCTCTAAATATGATAATTAACTAGCAAAAAACAAACAAACAAACAAACAAAAAAAACATTTAGAACACCTTGCTTGCTCTCCTCTTTCCTGTGTTGGTGGCTGTCATTACCAGTATTCATCGTTCTGCTGTCTCACAAGGGAGCAGCTTTCCTGGGCAGCTAGTCCAGCTGTGTTCCTTTTTTTGGAAGGAGTGTACGTATAAAACTCAGAGGATCTGTTTGGTGCACCAATGAGTTTTATTGTCTTATTCACTCAATATATGTGTCAGAAGCAGTATTCATCCTATTTTTCCCATTGTGCATTTGTCCCACTGTTTTACTGTAGATTTCTGTGATGGGTTACCTTTGGAAGTGATTCTTTCTATGGTTTACCTTTGGAAGTGAATTGTGTTTTATTAGAAGAATCTTTATTATACTGTAGAAAACTGCAATGAATGACAAAGAAGGTGAAATCAGAAAAGCTTGAGATGCAGAGATATTGAAGAAAAATATATTTTGCATAGAAAATGCTTGGATTTTTAGAAATCGGCATGAGGGATTGTTTGGGTGCAAAGATGGGATGGCCAAAATAACATGTCCAGCGTTTCCCTCTTTCAGCATCATTCACTTGTACAGAAGCCAACTTTTGTGTTTGTATTTGCCATATAGTTAACTTTTTTCCTCAGACCCTTGCTATAGTAGAATGAATGCATCTAAAAATCTTTGTTTTGGCACTCCTTTGCAGTGACTTTCATTTGTATCTTGATTAGGAAAGAAAAATAATTTGTTTAAAACTAAAGATGGGGGCATCAATCCCAAATCTCAAGCCACAGCCTTTCTGAAAAGAAATAGGTTGACTTTCTTTGCTATCAACTCTTACTTACAAGTCAATCTATTGCTTTCTATGATATCCCTACATAATTCCCATGAATACAAACTTAAGTGCTTCAAGTATTCACAGATGTATAATGTTAGAAATAAAGATTATAGTAAATCAGACCTCATGAATATGCATTTTTTATTGCCAGTAAATCTGAGTTATCTAAATTAAAATTCAAAATTATATATTGCAGAGGAAATGTTCTTTTTAAGAGTCAGAAAACATTTGCTGTAGTCTTCCTGCCATCATTAAGCACGTAATAATCATCTGAAGAAAATGAGACTTCTTTTTCTGCTGCTTGTTTTAAATAGCTGTTATTTCTTATGTTGCTGTTAAAAATGGAGATATCTTAAAAAGCAGTGGGCTATAGAATGGATTGCAAGCCACTGGCCACAGATGAAAGCACTGCCCTGTTTTGTGCTCTTGTGGTGATGTTCTGGGCTGAAGCGGTGCTGGGGGAAACACATTCCTTCCTGTCAGAGTCCTGAGAGCACCAGTAGGTGTAGGGACCCTGCCAGCCCCAGCTGGAACTGCTGCTCCCTGTGCCACGAGCCAAACTAGAGCTCAGCACTGCAGTGGCAGAGGGACCAGCCTACCTCTCATTTTTTTTTTTTAATGTTTTAAGAAAAATATTAAAAATTAATATGCTTTGTTACTTACATATTAATTATATTATATATTTTATGAGAGCTGCTCTGAAAGCCATGCCTCCTGTTTTACTGTGTTGGCTCACGACATCACAGGCGGGTGGGTGTTGGTGGGATGGCAGTAGAGGCTGAACCTTCCCACCAATATTCCATTATGTGTTGTTGCCGTGTGACAGATGGCAGCGGAGGGGAAGTCCGACACAAAGGTGTGTGACATGGAAGTGTGTGTGGTGGAGCAAAGGTGTGCCATTGAATTCCATCATGTGGAAAAAATGACTCCCATTGGCATTCATGGATGCTTGCTGAATGTTTATGGAGATGAGCGCAGTGAAGCTGTGGGTTACTTCTGCTTTTATGAGTGCGGCATGCAGGCTGCTGTTCATCACTGGTGAAAATGCGCAGCTAATGGTGGTGAGTGTATTGAAAAATAGTGCTTTGTAGCTGAGAATTTGCTCTATCGAATTTTATATCTTGGCCCAGGCAAGCCAAAAGGTTGGACACCCCTATTCTACTGCATTATTGTTGTGACATACACAATTTCACCAGTATGTTAATCTCTATTAATCTAATTCTAATCTAATTATATTAATTGCCCAAATTGATTGGGCTTCCATTCTTGTGAGCCGTCGTGGACAAAAGTCAAGAGTTTTCAATAAACAGCCAGAGGACAGACCCTGCAGATGAGACCTCTGGAGTCTATCAACCTGTTGTTATTGCCTAGAAGTATTTCTGCTGGAGTAGAAATACGATTGTGTTGTGATGGTTTGCAGATAGCAACTTGCCTGAGCAAAATAAGGAAGCACTCCAACATTGCTGTCTTAGAGGAATGTCTGTATGCAGAATCTGAGTCCTTGGGAGTTGGAAATGCTGCTTTCTTTTATTCTTGGTGGAAATAGGGCTGTGTATATAGATAGCATCAACCTCTTCCCGGGAAAATTAAAAGTTACTGAAGTCAGCACTGGGTTTTCATGTTTTACCATATGATGTTTTGTGACTAAGAATTAAGATAAAGCTTCTTGGAGCTATTTTTTTTTTTTTTTTTTTTTTGGTGAAGATTCCTAAGAAAAGTAGAGGCTCTCCAAGAGTGTGGGTGACTCCTTTGCTGGGGCTCATTGCGTCAAATATGTCAGAGGAGGAGCACAAATCTTTTGGCTGGATTTGAGTACAAGTGCTTGTACATACGGCCTGAGAGACATCTCCAAGCCATCTGGATGTGCTTTGGGAAAGTCTGTACTTCAAGCATGGTGTAGGAAAATTCTGTGATGTTAATTTCGAAGGCCTCATTTAAGTTTGGAGATCCAAGTTCTCAACATCTAACTCTTACTGTCCTAAAAGTAAAGGATTTTGCTGTCTGAATTTCACTGGGGAAAGGAGGCCATGGGCCCTCTCGGAACCTGTTAGTCCTGACCTTATGGTGCCATCTGACTGAAAACTTAGCAGTAGATGAAATTACTTCAAAAGTTTCCTGTGACTTTTGCTTTCATTACATTCTTCAGCCTTTTTACCTTGTCATTAAGATCTGTAGTCCAAAAAGAAATGTCATGTGCTGTGCATTTCCTTGCTATAAATCAAATGGAGACCATCACTTTGCTAGACTCCACGGAGATTTTTAACACTTCCCATAAACACTAAAGCTTGTAATAGGAATAAAGCTTTAATTTTTGATGTTCCTACTCTTATAGTCAAACGTCCATTCCATGCCTCCTCCTCCTTTTCTGTTAACGAAGAAAAGTTTACATTTGGTGACAGGATATTTTCTTTCTCAAACTGGTCATGTCTTCCTGCGTGCATATGTGAAACTACCAGACTAAGCAGACTGCTACATATTTTTCCACCTTGATTGCAGTGATAATGCACAAAACATTGTTTTGAATGGGGTTAATAGCAATTAGTCAGCTTTGTTAATGTATTGGAATATCATGTAATCTTAATGCTCCAGTCTATTTTATTGCATTCTGCCTGATTTGAGTGCTTGCTGATGTTTATTGTGATCTGTGCAAATTTTTCTTAAATCAGTACCCCAAAAATCAACCTCCTTTCCCCCAAAGGTATTTGAATTGAAATTTATTTGGAAAACTTCTTTTCTGTTTAATGCTCCTCAGCCCTGGTCATGAAGGTGTAACGTGCAGTTAGCTGTCCTTGCAGAAAAATGAGGGATGTGAAATCTTAGATGCTGTGTGGGTAACTTGAAAACTAGCAGCAGTCCTGACCTCTTCATGATTGTTTTTCTCTGCCCTTAATTTTTCAGCTGCGTTTTTCCTCCCAGTTTGAGAAGATTCCAGACTGCCTTCATGGAAGAGCATCATCAGCTGGATTCAGAATACAGGGAACTAACTGATGGCTGCAAAGGTTTGTTGATTTTTTGTTTTGTTTTGTGTTCAGACTGAATTTTTTTGTGATGGTTGTGTTGGCGCTGCATGATAATAGGCTGATTGTTCTGGTCTTGTTCTGAGTATTACTTTGCAGATCCTATTGATTGTATCTTGTCCCAAGGGAAATAGTGGTTTGTTGTCTTACACTGGCCGGCAGAGAGCAGAGGCTCTCTTATTTTGTGTCCCTGTCTGTCTGGAGAGTTTTGTGATGTCAGCTGAGGTTCAGAGCATCTCCAATGGCTCTGGTTGCTTTAATTTGAATAATTTTGTACTAACAATGTTAAATAGCTCATTATTGCCGAATTACAGCATTCCTTGTAGTTTTGTGAGTCAAAGCTTCTAAAAATAACAATTTTTACATATTCTTCTTTTAACCTGCCCACCATTTGTTGGTACTTACATGTTTCAGTACCAAGTATTGGTTTTTTTTTCGTTTTCAAGATAAATCAGTCAAGGTACTTGTCTGGCTTTATAATTGTGGTATAACAGGGTATAAAGGCTGTCATGTTGTGTCCATAGGTGCGCTCCTACTTGCGGGACGCCCGCCATTGCAATCGCGAATAAATTCTGCTTTTATCAGAGATACCGTCCTGACAAAATTACTTGGATATTTCCACACATGGCACTTGGGGAGCACAGAGCCCACGATGCTGCTGCTGCCTGTCCTCCTCTGGAGCTGCTGCAGACAGGGCCTGTCCTGCCCGGCAGCAGCCGCCCATGCAGGCTGATCCTCAGGGCTGCTTCTGGGGCAGCTCCCCTTCAGATCTGCTCCACGGAAGGTGCCGCTGGGGCTCTCCTTTTCAGGCGCAGGCCAGCTCTGGCCTTGCCCTCTTGGAGCAGGTGGGGACAATATGTCCTCAAGAAGGCATTGCTGTAAAAGAGCTGCTTTTTAAAAATGCAAAGCAGACGAGTTGCCAGTGCTTTGAGATGGCAGGACTAAGGCATTTAATTGCAAATGATAAACACAGATATCAGAAAGGGCTCTCATTCTGCTTAGGCAGACCACTGCTTTGTGATGCACCACCATGTGATGGTTCTGCTGTCCGGGATCAGAACAGCACAAAACTGTCCAAAAGAAAACAATTTAGAAACCCAGATGCCACTACTTTGCAGCACTTTACTCTCAGAACCCTGAGACTCTTATCCCCCAGACGGCTACCACCTAACTGGGTGCCAGCTCTCCACGTAGTGGGTCCTGCATGGAACTGTTTATTCTCAGCACCGTGACACGTGACACCATCGGACTCAACTCCCACACTAGGAACCCTTCCCTGGGTGCCCATCTCTCTCCTCTGCCTAGTGCCCGTGTGCTGGGCGCCAGCTCTCTGCCTGCAGCTGCCCTGTCGGGGCCGCTGGTGCAGCAGGGCAGCGTGGGGCTGCCACGGAGGCGGCCTTGGCACAGCCACAGCAGAGGCTACCACAGGCACCTGGTAAGACTGAACGTGCACACGTCCGTGGGGCCAGACGACACGCATCCCAGGGTCCCTTCCAACCCAAGTCGCTCGATGGTTCCCTGAAATTTTGGTGTTTTGCTCTAACTCACATCTTACAAGCCAAAGCACCAGCGAGCAAGTGTGGGAACAGACATTAAGCTGGATGTCAACAGGTGACTCCCAGCTGCAACGTGGATGATTAGATTCAACTTCAAGCACACTTTTTAGTTTTTACAGCACTTCCGCAGTGCAACCAAACGAGGCTGAGTGGCCCGAGCTCCCACCAGAGGCAAGCTGCACTTTGGTTGGTTTGCCAGGTCTCAACTTTTCTAATCTGGCGCAGACAGGAATTAAATACAGCTGCTCTTCTCTTACAAATGCACACTTAAGTGGCACCATGCAGTACCACACTGGAGACAGAGCAGGTGAGGTGTGCCCGTGGCTTTGTGCAAGTGTGGGAATCAAGTGTTGTTTCTGCATTAGAATTGTATAATATTATTTTTATTTTATGACCTCTGCTATCATAGTTCTTTTTGGGAGCCCTTCTACTTAACTTGGGGAAGATCTCTGATAAGTTTACATCACTTATCGTATAGACGAACCTTCCCGGGAACACACTCTGTGTATAGGTGTATATATGTATATTTTGTCATACACACTGCAAGAATATCCTGCACGAGAGCAAACCAGAGTACAAGCCATGGTATGCCCGAGGAAGCACCTGGAGAAACATTGGGAAGGCCTGATATCATCCCCCAGTGCTCTTTGTTTAACGATGATGACTTTAAAGAAAATCATCATATCAATAGGACAAGGAGAGCACCGAGACAGCTTGGAAACAACAGGATGACTACTGACTGGCACCAGGTAACAAATAAATGAACAAGTAAATAGCAAATGTAAACCTTCTGATAAGATTGTGAACCTGGAGTACCCAGCCACTGGGGAAACAGGGGAAGGGGGAGGCAAGGGGGAGAAAACAGGGTATAAAGGCTGTCATGTTGTGTCCATAGGCGCGCTCCTACTTGCGGGACGCCCGCCATTGCAATCACGAATACATTCTGCTTTTATCAGAGATACCGTCCTGACAAAATTACTTGGATTATTTCCAACATAATCAAATTTGGTTAACGAAGAGACGCAGTAGTTCTTAACAGAACAATTAGGTGGTGTAAGTAACTCCTAGTTACAACAGACATTTGGATTAGTTTGGAATCAGAAGTAGTGATGGTTTGTTACTGAAGTTGCAGTAACACGATGCAGTAAGATGATGTATATGGTAAAATGCTAATGAAGTAATCTTCAGTCCTAAGCAATCTATTGCTCGTGCTCCTTAAAACAAGTGAAAAAACTGAAGTGTAGGGGAACAGATATATCACAGCCTGCAATGATGGTTGAGCACCTGGTGAAGGGGGGGGGGGAGGAGGGTTGGCCCAGGAAGCACAGGAGCAAACAATTTACCTGTGCTTCCCTGTGATTGGAAGGGATGGACCTAGAGTCCCAGGCCTAGTTTAAAGGCTAGCCTCCAAAGGGGTAATGTTCTTTGGATGATGGTTGCTTCTTGTGAAGGAGTGTTCTACAATTAGTGACTCATTGCCAGCTGGGTGAGTCAACTTTTTTCTGTTGATAATAATTGGTATTTCTAACAGTACTTCGTATGGGATCACAGAGAAGTTTCACTGCTCTCTGCCCAATGCAAACCAAAAATGAAAAAACATCAAACAAAAAAACCCTTTCAAAACCATTATTCCAAAGTAGCCCGTGAAGAGTATCAGTTTGAAGAAGAAAGCAGTTTGGATGTGAATGCAACTGCCTGTATCTTAAAATCTTCAGGAAAAAAATGGTTGTGTAATGTTGTTGCTTTTTATATAAGGCTTTCAGAACTAGCTTGTAATCAATTGTGTTTCAATCAATCAAATGGGGGGGGGGGGAGGAGGAGGAGGAAAAGAGGGGGGTCTGAATGCTTTCATAATAATATCTATTATAAGATGCATGTAGGAACCTGCAAGAACTGAATAACAGTTACTTGTGTTTTTGAGTGCCTTAGTATTTATTTTTGATATTGTGTGTCTAAAAAAACCCCACAAAATAAACCGGTGTGGCTCTTTGAGTAAATGTTACAGATTTATCTGGAAGCAGGAAATTTGTCAGTGTCTTTAAGGCTCTTGAGTGTATAAGAGAAAACTCAAAATAGTAGTAGAAATGTAGAAATAATTAATTCAATGGATGCCCTAATTTACAGAATACTTGTTTGCTCTTACACTGTTTATCCCAGACTGGATTCTGAGTAGAAGAAAGTTTTTGAACAGTCAATTGAAATTCAAGTTATCAGCACTAGGCAGCGTTCTTTTCAGGGACTTAGCTTCAGGACTAAAGAAACCGATATTATCAAATTTACTTGGTTGGTTTGTTTGAAATTTCTGAGAGGGGCAGGACTAGTCAGCACTGAAATGAAAGTGAGGCAGAGGTTTGTACTGCTTCCATGGCAGGTGAATCTCTGCTTTTCAGGCTTATTGGTGCTCTTTGTCTGCGGGCTTATTCAAATGTCTTGAATTCTTCAAAGGATTTCATAGCATTTCTTGGCTAAAAACTTTACATCTTCTGGTGGGTGTTTGTATGTTAATAACGCACTTCTTATGGTTAATTACCAACTGAAAGAGGGGAAAACAGTAATTTTTAACTTTTCAGGAAGCTGACAAGTAGAGTCCAGCAGAGTACGATGCATTTTGAGAATATAAATGAGCTCAAACTAGAAGTGAGTAATGGGCTGGTTGATTTGTAATCAATTCATAGTTATTCACAGTGATGAAACTTATCTTGACTGCATACTATTGTCTTGACAAAGTAGCAGATGAATTTGCATTGATAGATGAACAAAGAGTAGGAAGAAGAGAGGCACAGATGACAAAACTTTCAGGCTAATCTGCTTCAGAAAGATCAGTTGAAAACAGAGTGCTAGTCAAAGTAAACAGAATATTGGAGAATGAAAAGGAGTTGAGAACTGAGCTGGAAATATTACTATAAAATTGACTTAATTATTTATGAATAAGATAGAATCTGTTTTCCAGGCTAACTTTGTATATTCTTGGTTTGTATGAATGATAGCAGTGCAATTATGATAAGGAAATGTTCCTCTTTTTCCAAGACTGGGCCTAAATCTAATTACGTGGTAGTGCAGTGGCACTACAAATTTGTGAGGTTGCTAAGGTTTGCTGTGAACTTGGCTTTTACCTGGATTGCAGCAGCACTCCTTTACTGTCATTGGCTGGTGAAAAGCAGGTGATTTAACTGGCCTACTGGATTTGCCAGTGCTAATGGGATAGATCAGCAATGCAAGAGAAATGGGAACAGAGCTTGGGGTTGTATGAATATTCCTAGTGGGTTGAAGGTGATTTAATTCCCAGAGAAGCTACTGAAGTGGGGCTGAGGCATGCAACAGGTTAGCTCAGCTGGGCACGTAGCAGAGATCAATGGCATGTGTAGAGACTGAATGGCAGTCACCTGTAGTGGTTTGCTGTTTTAATGACAGCATTACTGAATAAGAAATCTAAATTTGCTGCCTCTCACTTTTGATTGGATGCTTAACAAGCTGAGACAGGAATGCTTGTGTACTCCTTCCTTCTTGGTGCATGAAAAGCCCAGTTGATTGTGTGATTGTGTGGTTCGTGGAGTTTCACTGTTTGTTTCTATGAACTGTTACAGACTTTTATTACCTGACCTGCTTTTTTCTTCCAGAACTGCAGATCTTATTTAAATTATTTTAACTTTCCTGTCACCTTGAAGCATTTGATTATCAGACCAAAAGAAAAAATTAATATGGTAGCAGAGTAATTGAATTCCCAAGTGTCTTTCCTGGAAGTCTGCTTTTCAGTAAATCCCAAATTAGTGCAGCTTGAATGTTCACAGGCTCAAAAATGCTTGACTGTAATTCCCTAGAAGCAGTCAGTACCTGGGGATCTTTTGTTCCATGCTTGGTTGATGAACCCATGGAGACAGAGTAGACAAATACCCTTGGTTGGTGAGTAGCATCTGGAAACTAGCAACAACAACAAAAAAAAAAAGCTGAAAAAATACATAACAGTGCAGGCAGTACCGTTCAGGGGAGTTACTTATTGTTTTTGTCACAAGAATAAAGTGTATTTTGTGTTGGTTAGGGAAAAAAAAAAGTTAGGTTTAGTTTCCCCTGTATTGTTCATTTTAGATCTTAGTTGGTCTGCATCTTCACTGCCAGGATCTGATCCTTAAGGCAGTATTTTTAAATTAAATAATATCTTGATTTCTCTACTGAGCAATATTTACAATTTTGGCTATTTTCCACTCTTATTCCATCCAACTTCAACTTCAACTGCTGCTCAGGTAGAGTAGTGAGTAATGAACTATGTGGTGAACTTGTTTTAAGCTTAACTTATTTTAAGGTTGAGAAATGCAACTGTTTCATGATTCTATAGTAAATTCCTTTATATTCCCTTCAAAATTATAGGATTGAGGGTGTGTTTCCACACCTACTTAGTCTGATGTTTTGGATGTCCTCCTGATTGCACACAAATTCTCTCCTGGCCTACTTCTAATGTTTGCAAGTTAGATTGGAAAGCAGATTCAGCTCATCCATTTCTCCTAAATCACTAGCCTGAAGTGGCTGTGGATCTTCAAGGAAAAGATCTCGGAATGACTTACCTTGAGGGAAAGTCTCAAGCCAGCCCCATGCCTTGCTGAGCTCTGTGCGCTAATAACTCCTGATTCTGTTTCTCTCAAAAGGGGAGCTTTGCCGTGCTCTGCAAATTGTCCTGTAAATAATCAGAGTGAACGGAGGATTGTTTCATGTCAGACTACAAAACCTTACTCTCTGTGATCCAGTGAGCAGTGATACATGGGTTTTACGAAGAAGCAGATTGATTCTGCTTTTTTTATATTGGATTTTCAAGATAAGAGGGTCTATTAGTTGATTGCAATTGCCTATGTGCTTTAGCAAATGAATGAGTTAAGCAATTCAGTTAGTAGTTTAAACAAGCAAGAGATAAATATCTTTTTCCATCCATAGATGTAGTGCTGCAGCCTGCAGGTTGATCAGTGTGTGCGGCATTGTGGTAGTGCAGAGGTTAGTCTGCAGCTCGTAATAGGAAGCATTAGGATGCTGCACTTCATGTGCAGGGCTGCATCCTTTTCAAAAGCTGTTTTAGCAGAAAAATGGTCTGATTTTTCACAAAGGAAGAGCTATGATTAAAGGACAGTCTGCTTCCCTGATGGATGATTTTGGTTTAGTAGAGGAGATCTTCAGATAACCTAATGAGGAGAATTTTGTTTTTGCAGTAGGAAACCATAGCAACCTGCCACTTTAGAATGCATGGTATATAATCTGTCTGTCCTTCAGACAGTATTTTGCAGTCCAGAAATAGTCATTTCCTCATGTGTGAATGCAAAATGTCAGACAAATGTAGCTGGAGTGACAGTGTGGTCTCTGAGGTAAACATGAGCCTTGTTGTGCTGTCCGTGTGGTGCTGCACATTTGGAAAGCAGATCCCAGGGGAGGACAAAGGTGCTCTATTATTTTTTGTTTGTTTGTTTAGTGGTGTTTTTTTTAATTTTTTTTTTAATAAAAACCGAGGCACTCTGAAAATTGGTTATGGAAAGAGCTGCAGTTCCTTTTTCACCAACCTTACCCTGCCTGGAAAGCTGTATTTGTTCCTGCTTATTTTTGGCACACACTGCTTAAATTAAAGTACTTAAAACTGAAAGCTTTCTGGTCACTGATCTCTCTTGTTTTACTTGTTTCAGACTCAAATAACCATAAAAGTACTCAGTAATTATATAGTGGGGGTAAGTGCCCTGCAACTTGCTCACAGCTGGCCAAGGCTGCAGGCTGTGCTGGCTGTGTTTAATGAAAATGGATTAATTAAATTATTTAATTAATGTAAACTATTAGCATTACTCCAGCTTGCTTAGGAGTATTTAAAGAAAATCAGCCTTAATGCACAGAATGTTTATTATTCATGTACATCTTTTACTGATTTCAAGTGTTTTTCTGTTAATCTACTTTTAATAGCTTATTTCTTGTGGTTCAAATGCAGTATGATTTTGATAGTACTGTGATCTACTTTGTCTTATATAAGAGCAGAGCAATATTGGATCAAAATGCCGGAACTGTAGGGGATCATCTAGCCAAACCCCTGCTAAAGCAGGTTCCCTACAACAGGTTGCACAGGAAAGCATTCAGGTGGGTCTCAACTGTGTCCAGAGAAAGGCTCCATGTCTCTGTCTCTGGGCAGCCTGTTCCAGTGCTCTGTCAGCTTCACAATAAAGCAGTTTTTTTCTCTCATTTGTATGGAACTTCCTGTATTCCAGTTTGTGCCCATAATTCCTCGTCCTGTTGCTGCATGCTACTGGCAAGAGCCCAGCTCCGTGTTTGGCTCCGCACTTCGGGTATTTGTAAACAGTGGTGACATCGCCTCTCAGTCTTCTCCAGGCTGCAGGGCGCTAGGTCTCAGCCTTTCCTTCTTCGGGAAATACTTCAGGCCTTAGTAATCTTCTTGGCCAGCATTTCTTTTATTGTTGATCGTTCTACTGTCTCTCTGTCATAAAGGACACATTGGTTTCTTTTTGCTCTGTT